TATATATATATATATATATATATATACAGGGTGTAACTGAAATAATGCCCTAACTATACAGTGCTATTCCTAATAAAAAACCAAGTCGAAAAGTCCTCTACCATTTTGCAATTTTCGCAATAGTTAACGAGATATTAATTTCTAAAGATTGCCGAATAAACGGATAAAATATTTAAGACAATTTTAAGATATCTTTCCATGTTCTTTGTGAAATATTTTGAAGACTTTTCTTAAAAAACTCTTAAAGATATCTTAAAGCTATTTTATATGTCGATTTTGCTCATTGGGTAACAAAAAAAAATATGGCGAAAATTTCAAAATAGTAGAGAACTTTTCGTCTCAGTTTTTTATTAGGATACTATATGATTAGTGGGCGTTATTTCAATTACACCCTGTATTGTGTGTGTGTGTGTGTGTGTGTGTGTGTGTGTGTGTGCGCGCGTGTGTGTGTGTGTGTGTGTGTAGTTATAAAATATTGGCAACGCGATTCTATATGCGCCCAATGCGAAATAGCCAGACTATATAATTAACGATTAACATAGAAATTCATTATATCATATATAGAAACATTTCTCTTTCCTTATACAACAAAATATATTTTTTATTCTAGAATTTCAAAACAAGACGTATATATTTTAGTTTTCACAAATATCATTTTTACACATTCGATATATAGAAATAGAATATACTGTCTATAAAATCTCTCTCTCTCTCTCTCTCTCTCTCTCTCTCTCGCTCTCTCTTTCAGCTAGCATATTAATTAAAAAGATAACGATAAAATTTTGCAGTTTATTATAGTGTAAAATACATGTTACGATTTTCAAGAACGTGTATTTTTCTGCGAATTTAGTGGGAAGATAACGAGTCTAGATACGCATAGATCATATGATAATTTCCTTGACCTAGTATCTTTACCGTCAGTTGCTATTCCGATCGCATCAAGGTACATATGACACATAATTTTCTACACACATCGTATAATGAATAGTAGCAGTAGAGGTTGTAAACATGAGTAAGCTGGTTTTCCGGCCAGAAAATCAGTTTACTCTCTACGTTAATGTGAAAAGGATTATCAACTATGATTAGTCGATTTCTATGCCTACTCCTTAATCCTACTACTGCTACTGTTCATTGTAGACCATAAAGATCATAAAGATCAAGAGTGACTGCATTGATTGCATTCGGTACTCCAACCGTTCATTGACATGACTACGTTCAACTGAGTGAGCGCTATTGATGTATTTTTCTAGATATAAAATTCAGATTGGATAATCGCTATTTTTTCGTCTGCTAGAAATTACTAAAAAATATAAAAGTTTACGGAAAAACGTTAATTTTTCGATAAAAAATATAACTGATGAGGATCGTAATATTCGTAAAGACTGAAAAAATTTATCAAATTTTTAAAAATACAATATTTTTATTGAATATACTCTAAACATGTCGTAAATAAAACTTACAGAATCTCTTAATAAATTGATACGAATCTCTTAATAAAGAATCATATAAAAGTTATTAATAATTAAATACGCGCGTAATAAGATAAATCGGACATTTTAATTTTCTTATTTATCTTTCATATATAAAAAGAGATCTTTATATATAATAATGTATAATAGATATCATGTATAGAAAAATATTATCTACATATATTCAATTGAAAGAAATTTTGTAATAATATTCAAATAAGAACAAGTAATAATTCATTAAAGTCGCAATCAAAATCAGAGAAAGAAAGTCATATTTTAACGTTCTTTCACTTTCGACATTATTGTACTATACATTCGTTATGTGTTATGCGCACGCGCACACACCACACACACCATACACACACCATACACACACACACACACACACACACACACACACAACAAACACACACATACACAAAATCTTCTTATATAGAATGGATTAAAGTTGTCTCATCTACCACACATTTCCATATAAATAAATAACCAAATTAAAATATCTTATTCTCTGCTTTTAGAAAATAATCTATTCGACATATCTTTGCAAATTATTCGCAAAACATCAAGTACAAGTTAACATAGATTAAGAACACAAGATTAAGTGAAACGATTTTCTATGTCAAAATATTGAGCATATATTCAAGTTAATTACGACACATTGTACTTACATTTTTATTTTTCAAACATTAATAGTCATCTTGTGATTTTAGTTTATATAGTAATATTTTTATTTTACAAACTGAAGAATAATCTAAAGAATAGAATTTTATTTCCAATTACAGTAAATTACAATCGATTTAGTAGAGACGAAAACTATCACTCTCGAAAGTTTAAAGAATACTAAAACAATCATCAATCAGAAATATCCGGGCAAATGAGAGCAATAATAGCGCAGAAATTGATACGTTTGATCTTCACAATAATATATTTAAATTCTTACTTATAAAATATCGATCATTAACGTTTCAGCTCAATTCGAGTCTTCTTCAGCAATGAAATAATTACATGTAATGTTGGTTATACATCATGTGATATATTAAAGAGTGCAGTAAGTAGAATCTCTCAATTCCAAATTTAAGAACGTAACTGTCAATCGATTTTTTTATGATGAAGAATTTCAATATTTTATTATGAAGATTAAACGCATCAACTTCTGCGCTATTATTGCTCTCAATCGCTCGGATATTTCTGATTGATGATTGTTTTATTATTTAGAGAGCTTATTTTATTAATTAATTTGTTTTAAAGAGTAATTCGCTTCGCTCTTCTTATGGTTACATATATTCAATGACATTAGTCAGCACTTGAATATACGAATCATGCGGCCTAATTATGACACAGATATCATAAAATGTTGTGTTGTAAAATTAAAGTTTTAGACTTTGTCATTAAATTTTTTATAAGCCTTATAATGATGTCTTTCCCTTTGTCCATCTTTTCCCCCTCCTTCTCCCTATTTTCCTCTCTTCTGTTTTCTCCTTCTCCTCTTCATTTAATTCGATAGAAAACTAATATGTCAATGTATCATGATTAAGAAATGGAAGCACATGACATATACATGGAAGCTTGTATATCATTATCACGCTGTATACGATTATAGCATAATAACGATCCAAAAATACATTCAATAGTGGACATCTATTGAATCGACAATAGCTAAAGTTTTGAAACTATACATCAAATACTTTCTTCGTAGAACAATCGTCGCATAAAATTGTTTCTTTTTCTAATAAGGGACGATACATAACTGTCAAGCATCGATTTGATTCTCCGTGAAATATGTTGTTAAACATCTAAGAGACACATATTTTTTATACGTGCGCTAACTCATGTTTAAGAAGTGACTAAACACTCCTTTGAAAAAAAAAATATTTCTATGTCAAGCTGTCGGAAGTATAAAAGATGGAAAAAAATTTTTTAAACAAAAATTGTACGGTTTCAAGAATACTTCAATGTTATGAAGAAACAAATTAAAAAAAAATTTTTTTGTTTAATAATTATTATTCCACAACCAAATATAAGTATTGCTCATGTATATGCAAAGCAATATAAAAGTATAAATTTCAATAATCACGTTTTTTAAATTATTTATTTGACTTGATTATTGAAATCACTTTTATATTGATTAACAATTGTTAACAAAAAATTTTTAAAAATTTATTTCTTCACAATGAAATACTTTTGAAACCGTTAGATTTTTGTGCTTAACATATTTACCGAGAATCAAATCGGTACTGGACAATTGTGTGACTTCTCTTGTAAGAATAATTGTTACAATTTGCTTATTTACAAGATTTTACAAGAAATTGGAGGAAAGACTCAAGTTCTTATACGACAATTTACATGTAAATGATTTAGAACTATATATTGCCCGATAACCAAGTTGGAGTAATATATAATACAAACGAGCAAAATTTTCAAGCGAGAATCCACGAACGTTTCGGTGTTTCGCGATCAAAATTGATATTAAAAAAATTAATGTCTATCTACATCATTATATCACAAAATATGCATGAAGAGTCGCATCATTTCACCTGCCTTCATCTGAATGCTCGGCCAACTGTCTATGATGATTCTGATGAGGTTGTACATTCGAATTTTGCCTAGTTTGCACAACTGCATCATCTTCAACGTCGTTTCTGTCATTTTCTTCAACAAAAGCTGTGTCTCTATTTTGGACGTTTTCAACTTTATACAATATGTCGTGGCAAAGAGGACATCGGTCTTGAACGTATAACCATTTCCGCAAGCATACACCGTGAAAATAATGATTGCATTGAGTGATCTTGGCGCTTTGCATTTCCTGATAGCAAATCGCACAAACATCGTCTAACTGTTCAAGTTGTTCAGCTTTTGCTTCTGGTAAAGAATTAATCTTATTCACAGCCGTCCGGCGTTTCATAAAAATGCTCCATCCAGCCTTCGCTTCGCACCAGATATTAAAATAAGCGTGTATACACATCATGACAGCACGAATAGCTCCACCAGACTCGAAAATCAATATCCAGAAACCGTTAAAAAATAATATAATGCCAAAAGCAAATTCCACAGTATTGCCAAATGATCTTATTATGTATACGCAATCGTCAAATTGTTCCCAGAATTCACTTCTGTATGCGTCGATTAGAAACAATGAATAAATTGCTAGCGAAACCAGTACTTTGACTATTACCTCAATGCTAAAGACCGACACAGCCAACAACCATGTACTCACGGTGAAATGGGACCAGAGGAATACGAGTAACGAAACCGGGAAGAATATTAGAAAAGCACAAACCGCCAAAGCCCGTAAATGTCTATGTAGTGCCGGATTATGAGAAGCACTGAGCGACATCAATAATGGATTCACTATATTGTGCACAAAATGTAAAATCGCCGTGAACAATAGGCAAAAATTACGATATAATCGTACTAGACGTTTCTCTTTATCGAGACTCGTCAATCCGGTTTGTAGGGCAAGAATGTAAAATAGTATAGCGGATACCGTGCCGATACTCTTCTCATCTTCGTCTTCCGTCAATAATATCCATTGGAAGAAATAACCGATATAGTGGCAGATAAACGAGATTATGCTGGTCATACCAAGAACAGCTGTCAATGTCTCGCACCCATTTACCAGCAGCGTTCTGATCATGACGTAATAATTAAATGTTTCCTCGCCATAATGATTTCCGAGGATTTGGACGACTTGTTCTCCCACACGTAGCATCCAAAATGTGCGAAGTACACACGGCACATTCAAACGCATCCATTCTGTTTCCGCAAGAGCGGATAAACCATAATTGATTATAAAGTTGCGTGCGTGTCGATAGCCTATGTAGATTGTTTTCAACATGGAGACGCCATTATACCAGATGACAAATTTACACACAGCCAATGGGATTAATGTTGCGCATACCGGGGTGTGATACAGATATTGCGTCTAGGAAAAAAATGTTTTATTTAATTTAAATTTTCTAAAAATATTAATACTCGCTGTTTTCCTGATTCAACTATTCTTTGTACTAAGAATAAAAAAATAATTAATTTGATAAACTTACTGGTAAAGGATGGATACCCAAGATGGATGGTGACATAAAGCTCAGCACAAGAAGCTTTTGAACTACAGGATGTCTTGGGGCAAGATGTATATAACAAAAGATGCTAGCTAGCAGGCATTGCAATATATAATTCTGGATAATTAGAAAACCCGGACCATTGTATAAAACGTCCGAGAGATTCAGACATAATATATTGTCAAGTATGCTGGTTGTTGATTCGTGAACATTCATGTAAGCTATGATTGCTTTCATTGTACTAACATTTGACCAATACGATACAAATATTACTCCTATAGATATTAAATATAAGTATACAATTATCAAATGTCTAGTACATAACATGAATGTGTATAAGGCTGCAAGAAAACCTGAAAGAAAATGATGTAAATTATATCAACTTATTTATTCAAATCAATACTGCAAAAAAATCATTAATTTTTTATAAGCTCTTTAGTTTCTGCAATGAAATAGCAATTTTCACCACAGTAAGATTTACATATATCTCAAATGCAAAAAATAACTTGGCAAAATAACGTGACTATAGGCTTTTTTTTTTGGAAAAAAAAGCGATTCATTTAGAAAATTTACTGAAATTGTAAAGAGTATAGCAAAGTATATTACTTACCTATACAACAACATAAAAATTTAAATATGATTATCAGGTAAGCCTTGTAAGCAAGATGAGTAAAATCAAACTGATCCATTAGAAACGAGTCTGTTGTAACTGCAGAAATGGAACCAGGAATGCTTGATACATTAGTAGTTTTAAAGCCATGTTCATTACTTTCCAGTACAATATTGTCATTGGGTAAACCAAGGCTGATTCTAAGTAACTCATCAATGATAAATAAAGGTGGCACCCTCATTATAACATCAGCAAAGCTGAGAATTCTTTCCCGTATTGAAGTATTCATCTTGCTAGTGCTGTTCAAGGAAAAGTTTGAGGAAGACGTTTTATACACGCCTCAATTTTAAATATGGAAGCAGCATTCTGTTATAGAATCGTACAAAGGCCAGACCTATACACATACACACATACACATATATATATATATATATATTTATATAAACATGTATATATACATATATACATATATATATAACAATTATAATTAACCCTCCTATGGTAAAATAAATCAAAATAAAATTTCAAGATAGCCAGAAAAATAAGATTGGATCCAATTTGATGCTGTTTCTTGTTGTTATTTCATCTAATCAATATAACAAAATGGATATTAGATAGACATAAGTAAATAATATATCATAAAACTTCCTGTTGAACAGCACTTGGGTTTCATAAAACAAAACTGGAATCACATCCAATCATTCACACACATACACACATAGGAGTGTTAATATTACTTATAATAATCTATATCTATATCTAATAGATATCTTCAAACAAAAAATAAGAAAAGAAGATTTTCAAATCCTTTTCATCAATTTCTTTCAAGTTGATTAATTTATATGTAAAATATATGAATACATGCAGAATCGCACTGAAAATTGTACTAAAAATTTATCTGTTGCAGCAATGCAAATCTAGTGTTTGATACATGTATTAATTTTAGGTTATAATATCTGTCAAAACATTATACATATCACATAGCACAGCAAAAGTATAGTAGTAATTGTATCTTTGATTAATTTAGATTGCACAAAATTAATCTCATGTGTCATTGGAATCTACTTAAAAATACATATCAAATATTATCATTACTATTACCACTATCATGACATAAGAAGTCTATTTTCTGGCTGAACTACACTTTTAGAACTTAAAATGAGATAGATATACGTTTGAAGCAAGTATTTATTGAAAGCGAGAAACAGAGTTCTAGAACAGTCTAGTGCAGGAATAGAAAAACACCAGAGTTTCTGTTTTTTGCACTTTTGGAACTTAAAGTGAGAAAGGTACATGTTTGATATTTGTCAAAAGCGAGAAAAAGTTCTAGTGGCAGGAACAGAAAACAAACCTATAAATTCTCATTCGTTAAGGTTCGCTCTTCTTTCGCCCTTTCCCTCTTCTGCCTTTTAGTGTTCTAGTCCTCTTTCTCCGCCTCTTTGCCTACTGTAATATACATATATAATTTATTTCACAAATGATTTTATATTATCGCGATATATCTATCTCGAAAATCAAAACTTTACTATATATCAACCAATGAGTACATATATTTATATCAAGTAAAGATCAACTTGATTTCCGCTGAATAAATTTAATATAGATGGTTTAATATATACACGTCCAATGTAATTGTTTGATCATGTGACAGGATCACAATTAAGTTTCCAGTTGTCACACGCGACGTGTTACATTTAAATGAATAGAAAGAAAATCGTTGGCGCGTGTTGAATATTATAATACGTTATTGGTTGAATAGAGCAAATAAGAGAAAACATGAACGAATACCGTTAACCAACAGATAATATAACCTCTGTATACCGTTGAAAATCGAAATAATCTCGAAATAATAAGAATGAAAAGCAATGAGCAACGAGTGTTCACTGCTCCGCACTCTTATTTCGGATAGTTTGGATGGACTATGTCTAATCTACTATTGCGGATAAGCATGTCTCTTCAGTGTACTTCACCATGCTTCACCGAAGAAATCGAGAATAATCGAGGGAAAGAGAGAGAGAGAAAATCGGTTTGCAATGACAAGCGAAACAACTTACCGACGACCAACGATTGAGAAGGGAAGTCAAATCACAGATCACATTTCATGATTTGGCGATCGTCATAATCGACATAATCACAAAAGTGACTCTGAATAACTCGAATCGACACGATACACGCTCAAGGTCGATACTCACCATGTTCTCGTTTCTTCATTCCTCATTTGCGTCTTTTTGATCGGCCACACTGATCAATTCGTTTATAACATCATTATCTCCTCCTTTCACCTTATTTCATTGTGATCTGCAGCTTGTCACCCGTTTATCGATTAATCGCGTCAATAAATAAAAAGGAATTTATTTTTTATTGATCAACAGGAAGGAGGAATCTTTTTTTTTATTGGTCAGCAGGCTTTTGTAGTAGCCCAGCAAACGAGAATGGATTAAAATTTTTTCTATCCGAATGCGTATTTTAAATAGCGAATACTTTTTTTGGATTCAATCAGATTGAAAAACTGTATTTCCTATTTAAAATTTTGAATTGAACAATATTCACAATTGTGTTTTTGTACAGAAAAAGTTAATATTATTTTTAGATTGAAAGGCATAGAGATATGCAATTCTTATAAATGAATAAAAATGCGTTCAGGATTGAAAAGCATTCATTTTAACGTGAATCAATATTTCTGAAAATCTCAATTCATTTCAATTCATCTATTCTCGTTTGCAGGGAAGATTATCATCTATTTATATTCTCTTTTTCATAACAATTACGATGCCACGCAATGCAATGCAAGTTTTTCGAGAGACAGTGCAGGGAGAATCGTAAAACGAAGACATGATTTGTACTTATATGTACAGTAATTTATTGTTCTTTCCTTTCTGTCGTTATGTTATACATCGATGTAATGTATAAATGAATGTCTCATACTGTCGATGACACGCGTTTTCACAGTTTTGTTCTTTCTTTTACACAAGATCAATATATCAGTAATATTCTTTCTCCTATTCTTCTCTTAGAGGATGCACGCGTTGCGTTTGAAAAATCATGCCTCAACTCGACAGTTTGTTATAAAAAAATTTTATATTCGGATTATACACAATGGTGTTAATAAAAATAGAACCTCTCATCAGCTAGTGCGATACAACTTCTGTTATCAATTATCACATAGAGGTAGGTCCTGCGTGCTCCCCAAGATTCCCATTATGATCATCAGCACTGATATGTCGATTAAAATTCTATTCCGTGGTCCGAAGTGCGATGTGTCGTTGTTTGTCGTAATTATGCTGATATAATTGCATGTTTAGTTGTTGACATCGTAAAACGATGCTGCGCTTGCGATGTTTGTGGAGCAGTTCATGTTGTTTTCGTCATTTTGGTGCCGCTGCGATCCCAAAGACCGCGCTCACATCGATGAATCGTGCCATTTTTCAATCTTGATAGCCTAATAAAATCAGTAATTTATGTACATAGTAATATTACGTACATAGGTGTCATAGATCATACAATTTCGTACATTTTGTAAATACATCTTACAAGGGTATTTACATCTGGTATATGTTGTATATTTTTATTCGCTCGTATTAAGGAATTAAAGAAGAACACTGAGTTACAAGAAACGTAATAATACGCAATTTATTGGCTCTGGAAACAGCGCACAAGGTATCCAAAGAGTCTTTGTTGTCGTAACTTAAACGATACCTAAATGAAATCGCTTAAATGAGTAATGAATAATGAATCGATTCGAAGTATGATTCAAACGATTTTTCACACGCCTTGTAATATTCTAATTGTCAATTAATTATGCAGACTTCCAAAGAAATTGTCAATATTATTTAAAAAAATTAATTTAAAACACGATCTTAATCATGAGTTTTATCAGATCAACCTTAAATATAATCCGATCGTCGCGTTATCCTTTTTTAAAAAACTATTCGTTCTCATTTTGTTTCCACTCACATTCCCACAAATCGACAATTAATAAGAGAATCCTAAAAATTACTTTTTCAATATTCCAAAATGATTTGTACATCAAACTTATTAAACTTATTAAACTTTTCGCGTATTTCTATTATAGATCGATGATCGTCTAAGCAATTCGTCCAATGAAGAAGCATTCGCGTTATTTTTATTACCATAAAAAATTACATTCCATGTGCATATATTTTTTCATTATATTTTAATCTTGTCTATATAAATCTGCAACTTTATTCTTACGTTATCACGAAGCAGTTTTTTCATGCTAATAGTTTGTTTTAGAAATAGATTTATATTGTGTGTGTGTATATATATAGATATATGTATGTGTATGTATATATTATATATATATACACATACACACACATACACACGTCACAATTCATATTTCAACTCACACGCAACGTAAAAAATGTCTGCTGGTCATATGTAATACGTTCACCTCGATAAAAAAGTTTTTTCTATCTTCTTTTTTTCTTTTAAAAAAAGATCTTTTAACATCTCTTAAAATATTATAAATGATTCAATTATATCGTAAAAAAATACACATATATAAATAATTGTGAAATTTGAATATGAAACACCCACAATTTAATTGTGTTATACCTGAAACTCTGATACATATATGAATTATTTTCAGATGATTCGACGTTGAAAACAAGCATATAGAATATGGTTCGTACATATATGTCGATTCATTTTTCATTATTTCTATCATTTTTGTTATCTGTTACATTATTTTACTAAATCGCCGATGTATATACATATGTTCTTTTTAGTAATTTTATTAATATTAATATGAATGTTTGCATACTGTATACA